CTTCATTTCTCTTACATCCTTCTTAAATTACAGTTTACAACTCAAGCAATTGGTGCAGAAAGGTGAAACATACCGTGTACATGATCCTACAGATGTTGAGCAATAATTCTCCTTAACCCTAGCCAGTCATATATTGTCTCATATTCACTCTATTATCCCAAAGTTAATGGATACAGCATCATCGCTGGCTATATTCTGAATTACTAGCAAGCTTTGTCCTGGCTCAGAAGCCAGATGGATCTTGACAAACTTGAACACTGGGCCCTGTCTAACAAAATGAAATTCAATGTAGAGAAAAGTGAGGTTTTACTCTTAGGCAAGAAAACCCAAATGTAAATGTGCAGATTAGGCAAAACCTAAGAGAAGTGAGAGGGATCTTGGAGTTCAAGTGGACAATCAGCCGCCGCCAAAAAAGCCAATACAAATCCTAGATTGCATTAACAGAGGGATAGAATCAAGATCACGTGAAGTTTTCATATTATAAAGCCTTAGTAAGACCACGCTTGGAATACTGCATGCAGTTTTGGTCATTATATTGTAAAAACATGTAGAGACTTTGGAAAGAGTGCAGAAAAGAGCAACAAAGATGATTAGGCGGCTGGAGGCTAAAACGTATGCGGAACAGTTGGAGGAATTGGATTTGTCTCGTCTAGTGAAAAGGAACTAGCAGTCTTCCAATATCTCCAGGGTTGCCACAAAGAAGAGGGAGTCAAGGTATTCTCCAAAGCTCCTGAAGGCAGGACAAGAAGCAATGGATGGAAACTAATCAAGGAGAGAAGCAACCTAGAACTAATTTGAAATTTCATAACGGTGAGAACAATTAACCAATGAATTAATGGCTTGCCTTCAAACGTTGTGGGTGGAGGCTTTTAAGAAGAGGTTGGACAGCCACTTATCTGGAATTGAGCAGAGTGTTGGACTAGAAGATCTCCAAGGTCCTTTCCAACCCTATCCAGCTGAGTTTATAGCAAATGGGAATATTGGAGGACCATGTGGCCCTACAACATATTACTAGCTGATCAGCTCACCCCCTCTGCTGGATAAAGCTGATAGTGCAGCAGCCAGGATACCAAATCCAAATGGAAACCATCCTAACGTAAAATTATTGTTGGCTGGACAGAAAATGTTAGTTCTAAGCCTGCAGAGATTGATGCACCTGGGCTCTCTCCTTATCCTACTCACTTGAAATAATTGTGTAATAAATTGTAGTGACTCACAGCCTTACCCCCTCCTGATGTATTGATTTGTGACTGATTCTTGAGCTATCGCTTAAGCTACTGCACTGGCAGAGCAGGGCCTGTCCTCCTTTTTTGCTGAGGCCTGGAGTTGTTTACAGCAAGTTGCTTGCTGCTTCTATTCAGGGAGCACATCTGGATTTGCTTAGTCAAGCAAAGCAGGAAGTGGCTGCAGTATTGTCTTCAGCTGGTGGCAACAGGTAATCTTCCTTCTATTCACTCCATGTGTTTGCTGCAGCCTGTAAACTGAGCTCTTGGGGAGGGGGGGAAGAGAACCTCCCTCATTTTTCTACACAGAGCTGACAGATGGCCTATATTTTAAGACTGGTCTATGTTTCAAAGCACTACAGCTCTAAAGTTTATTTTTGTACTCTTTCTTTTGAAACAACCCAAAACAAATCACAGCATACTGTACTGTAATATTAATGTTTGTGTATACATATCAGAGGTGGGTTCCTACCAGTTCGCACCAGTTCGGTAGAACCGGTTCGTCAAATCTACCGAACCGGTTAGAAGAGATTCCACCAGTGGACCCGGAAAGCCGGCCAAACCTACAGAAAAGGTTCCAAAATTTTTTGAAACCCATCACTGACACAGACTCACACAGAGAGAGAAAGAGAAAGAAAGGAAGAAAGAAAGAAAAAAGAAAAAGAGAGAGAGATGAAAGAAAAAAAGGAAAAAGGGACAGAGACAAAAGGAAGGAAGGAAGGAAAGAGAGAAAGAGAGAGAGAGAACACATGGCCGGCAAGCCACTCCCACCAGGTCACATGGCCAGCAAGCCACTCCCACAAAGGAGGCCACACCCACAGAGTAGGTTCAAAAAAAATTTGAAACCCACCACTGATACATATACACAACGTATCCATGTATTTGTGTATGTATATGTGGGCTATGCATAGAAAATATAATAGATACTGCCGTTCTGTGGATTTTGTGGCTTTGACCCACTGTGGCAACACTTATTCTATAATTCTTGTAGTTAACACACCAACCTTGTGTGGTTTGCATATCAAAGCGCACTCCAGTCCATTAAGTTTATGCTGCAATAAACTCTGTATGGTTTGTTAATTAAACTACGATTTTAGTTGTGTTCATGCTCTAATTCATAGGCTCATATCCTTTCTTATGGATGTATTTATTAGGCTCAGGTTGATGGCTATTTATTTATTTGTATTCTGCCTTTCTTATCCTTATAAACAATTCAAGGCAGCAAACACATTCAATACACCTTCCTCCCTCTATTTGCCCCACAACTCTGTGAAGTGAGTTCGGTTGATAGTGACAGGCCCAAAGTCACCCAGCTGGCTTTCATGGCCACGACGGGGCTAGAACTTCTGGCCTCTGGCTTTTTAACTTGGTGCCTTAAACAGTAGACCTGTGATGACGAACCTATGGCACACGTGCCAGAGGTGGCACCCAGAGCCCTCTCTGTGGGCACGCGCATCAGCCAGCTGGTCTTTGCAGGCGCCAGATCACCTGAAAATGCCCCCAAAGCAGGCTGTTTTTCGGGTTGTTTTGCAGGCCATTTTTGGCCCAGAAAATGGTCTGAAAATGACCCAGAAAACAGCCTGGAAAACAGCCCGAAAACAGCCCCCAAAACTAGGCATGTGCACTGGCCAGCTCATCTTGGGGCTCCAACGCGTACTCATGCAAGCACATGCACACATGTTTCGGTTTGGGCACTCGGTGCTGAAAAGGTGCACCATCACTGCACTAGACTAAACTGGCTCTCGGTTAGAGTTCCATTAAGGAAAAAAAAGGTAAATTCACAAACCTAAAAGCCAAGATTCCTCCTTTTTGTGTGTGTAAGACTGATGATATTATTTAGAGCTTATTCACAGAACCAGAAATCTACATGGCAACTCTCTCACAGTGCTTCATAATAGCTGCTTTTTCTCTCTCTGACCTTTTGCCCTGTCAAAGTGAAGTGCTGGTGTTCCAATTTATTAATCAAAGGACACTGTAAAACTATTATTTTTCTAAAGATAAAAAAATGGGATGATCTCATCCAAATAGATACCAAGAAATATATTCATAAAATATTAGGCAATTACAAAATCAAATGCATAAATACCATTTCTCTTAAGAGTTCTCAGTTCTTGGATGTTTTCCTCCTCTAAGCATGTGGTGAAAACTGATTTAGATGGAAGATTATTTCGACATACAGTTACTATGGTACTATATGCACAAAGATGGAAAGATTTGGCATTACCTACCATGGAGGAATGGTTGGTAAAACTGATAGAACTTGCTGAGAGGGATAAACTGATTTCTTGATCACAGAAAGGACAATATTTATATTTATTAATGACTGAAAACCTCTTATGGACTTTTTGAATTAAAATGAAAGTGATTTATGTTTGGATGATTAGACAGGATATAGATTACAGAAAGAAGAAAGTCGTGATGTAACTTTAAAAACAGAGGGGTTAAAATATAATTGAAATAATTTCCATGAAGAATATTGGGAGCTGCTTCCTTATATCGTTTCTTTTTTTCCTACTATTTTCTTCTACTTTTAGCTTTTTCTTTTATTTTTTCTTTCGTTTTCATATAATCTTGTCATATTTTAGATTGCATTAGCGATTTTGCCCTGCTTTTGTTTGTTATGGATAATTAGTTGTAGTAGTTGTATATTAACTACTTAATACACTAACTAATTAAATTGCAATTATTTATGAGCAGGCCAAGGGCATCTGGGCAATTTCCATGTATCACATTATCTCAGAAATAAGCAAATGGCATGCTGGCTTCAAGTTACATATGAAATTGAATTGCCTTTCTGAATGATCTATCTTGGCATATTGTAGCTGTAACTATTGCTTTGGTTTTCCCTAATGCATAATAAGTAAATGGCATTCTAGTAACTGAGGAACAAAAGAAGGGAAACAGAGCTTCAAATGCAGATTCTGTTGTCTGCATTCTAGCACTCTATAGCAGGGGTGTCAAACTGGCGTCCTGCGGGCCGGATGCGTCCTGCGCAGGCCATGTCCACCCCAGCTCCGCAAAGGGGGGGGAAACATCACGATACGCCCAGTGACGCCACAAGCTTGACACCCATGCTTTATAGCAGGAGTCTCCAACCTTGGCAATTTTAAGCCTGGAAGACTTTTTAAGCCTGGAACTCAGAATTCCCCAGCCAGCTTAAAATCCGCCAGGCTTAAAGTTGCCAAGGTTGGAGACCCTTGCTTTATAGGGTTTAAGATAAACGGGCACCCTATCAGATCCACATCAATTCAGTCACCCAGTGTCTTTTGGAGCAGAATCTCTTCTCAAGCTGAGCTCTTAAATTCAAGCAAGACACTGCCCTCTAGTGGAAATAAAAGAGCAGGACCAAGCAATTACGAGAAATTTACATACTCGGAATAGCTGTATATTTAGTAGCTATATATAATAAAATTATATGCTTAAAAGCTTGAATATTAAACTATCAATATATTTCATTAGTTTAAATATTAAGCTATATTAAAAATAAAACTATATATTTAATAGTGTAAATATTTATATTTAAACCACTGTCTTTCTATCTCTGTATGAACTAGCAATAATTTTACAAAGTTTCACTATTTCCCCCCCATTTGTACAATCTTGGATCATAAAAGCAGGAATGGAAGGAACCCAAGGTCTTGCATCACTGAGTTATCATCTTCATTACCTGTGGAAATGATTTACAACCGATAGTTCTATAGTACCAGCAATATAGTGAAACGATCTGTAATAGCTAGAAAGGAGTGAAGTGAGTCAAGATTCTACAGCAACACACACTTGAGATAACAAATGTTATTATTGATCATGGTATTGTAAAACAAAAACAATTAGATATCCACTTAGCCTTCAAGGAACAGAATAGGCCTGGAGGATTTTACCTCTACCCAAACCATCACCATGCATAGATTATCCCTGCTTGGAGGTTATGGCTATGAGGCAAGAGAAAGAAAATAAAAGATATGCAGATCAGAAGAACATCAGGCCTTGGGAATTGATCTCTCAGCTGGAGCAGTTTATTAAGGCTTGTCCACCTGATTAGAGTTCTTATTTTTACCACCACATCCATCTCTGCTGAGCATGGTAACCAGCTTGTGTCTGAACGCACCTCTTCCCTTGGGCCTACCACTCCTTTCACCTCCACTCGCAGCCTCCTGACTGTCTAGCGGATGAGATGGACACTGTCTGTCCGGAGAGGAGTCCGCCCTTGCGCTTGAGACAAAATGGCCGCTCAAGCGCTTGGGTGTTTTAGGACTGTCATAAATGGACAATTGGTCATTGTTTTTGCTGCCCTCAGGGGAGTCTCCGTAGCTGAAGCCAAGACATTCTGAGGCAGAGGCTCGCTGCTCCAGATCGTGCAGGTTCTCGTAGAGATGGTCTGAGAGCTGTGCTCCTTGCCTTTGGGATTCCGCCTCTGTCTTACCCCAAGGCTGGAACATGAGAGGAAAGCTCTTGCCAATGGAAGCGTAGATGATGGGCGGTTCGGGAGTCTCGAGCTCTGGGGAGTGGTTTTCGCTAGAGAGGTTAATTTCCATGCTCCCCTTTGGAAGTGGTTGCATTTCGTCCATACTCTGTGTGCTGGAGGCCCATGACCTTAGCCCGGCTTTCTGCATACAGTCCTGAGCTTGAGAAACCCCACCTTTCTTGTTGTCCTCCATAAGGATGGCCTTCTGGTGCTCTATTGCAGCGGAGACAGCTTTGCCTATTTCCGCAGCCTGTGAAGTATTAAAAGTGAAGACGCCCTCTCCCGAATCACAGCGGCGACCTGCCTCAAAAGAGAAGGAACTCTGGGGAGAGAGAAGAAAAAGAAAACTTCAACAGTTATTCGTTTGGATTGCACTCAAACTAGCCATCATTTTATTTATTTGAGACTTAGAATGCCACTTGACTCCAATCGATCCAGGGCACAAAGAACCATAGTTAACAAAACAACAGACAGACAATAAAAATGGAACATTAAATAAGAGAGAAAATCTGGTCAGCAAAGCAAAACAAACAAACAAAAAGTAAAAATCATACACCAAGGAAGGGGCTCCAATCACCTAGCGCAGAACTTAGAGAAAAGCCAGGGCTTTAAAAGCCCTTTGAAACACTATCAGGGTGGGAGCAATCTAGATCTCATGAGGAATCTCGTTCCAGAAGGAAGGTGCCACAACACAGAAGGTATGCTTCCCGGGTCACTATAGATGGCCCTGATCAAAGGAATCCGGAGCCTAATGGAGTAAATGAGGCAGGCTGACACCAGAAGAAAAAGGCAGTCCCTCAGATAACCTGACACTCTGTCATGTAGAGCTTTATAGGTCATCATGATTTCCTTTGTTCAATTTTGCCAACAACTACTAAGATTTTCAGGTGATGCTCAATTTCATCTCAAATCCATGAAAACAGATCCATAAAATAGCAGCTGCTGGAATCAATACCTTTCTCATGTGGAGCCAGATCATTGATATTATCACATATTCAAAATAATCCCATATCACCCCTATGGGGGACATATCTCTTCTTCCTTCTCAGATCCTCTACCAGAGACCTGGGAGTTTGAAGTTTCTGCACAGTATTTTAGCTTTCCTAACACTGCACCCTTCTGGACACAGAATTCTGGTTTTGTTCCTGGGATCTCGTTCCAGTTGGAGCCCCTCCCTCAGATTAAGGGTGACAGCCTCCAGAGCTCCTACCCATCACTGGAACCACTTTGGCCTTTACTTTCCATATCCCGCTCCAGTTCCCCCTTCAGACCCTGCACTCCTCCAGCTTCTCATACTCCTCCTCCTTCATGAGGTCCCTGTCGTTTGGCACAGCTACACCTTTTATCACTGCTGTCTTCTGCTCCTTCCCTACTACCAGGATGTCTAATTGGCCAGTACCTGCTTGTCAATCTGGATCACAAGAACCTGGCCCTGACCTCAGTGGTGAAATTCAAATTTTGTTACTACCGGTTCTATGGGGGGTGGTTTGGTGGGAGTGGCAGGGGAAGGATACTGCAAAATCTCTATTCCCATCCCACTCCTTGGGGCAGGCAGAGGTGGTATTTGCCAGTTCTCCAAACTACTCAAAATTTCCGCTACCGGTTCTCCAGAACCTGTCAGAACCTGCTGGATTTCTGTGGAGTCCCCCATGTAGACTTGGGAGGGTCCAACCCATACACTGTGCAGATAATGCCAGTTACCTGCTTGTGCTGTTCAGTATATGCTGTTCCTGCCTACATCTCATATCCTGCCACTGTGTGCTGGAGTGCCTCCAAGGCCTCTCTGCACACTCTTTGCCTCAGTCTTGTCTAGTGTGGAGGACCCCCACTTCTATGGAGCTGGTGCTGAGTGCCTGTTCTTGTGTGCTGCTATAATCAGAGCCTCAGTGCTGTCTTTCAGTCCTGCCCTTTCCACTCACTGGTAGGATTTCTCTGTGTTGGCCACCTCAGCTGCCTGTCGAAGGTACATCGCATGCAGGGTCTTGTCTTGCCACAGCACTTCCTGTTTGATCTTCCTCCCGTTTCTGGGGTTAATTTCCATATTTTAGTGACCAGGGAGATTAGGGGGAGGAAAAAGCTGTACTGTTCTGCTGGGTAAACTTCCTGTGAGAAGCATCTTTTGAAGAGAACAGAGTTCTCGACTTATGACGGAATTTATGCTGCTATGTGGCAAATTCGCTAAGTGGGTTTTGCCCCATTTTATGGCTTTTCTTGCCACATTTGTTAAGTGACTCACTACAGTTGTTAAATTCATCGTTAAGTGAATCTGGCTTTCCCATGGAGTTAGTCAGGTTGCAAAAGGGAATCACATGACCCCGGGACACTGCAACTGTCATCAAGATGAACCAGATGTCAAGCATCCAAATGTAAATCACAGGAACATGGGAATGCTGCAACAGTCGTAAGTGTGAAAAATGGTCATAGGTCACTTTTTTCAGAGCTGTTGTAATTTTGAAAGGTCACTAAATGAACTCTTGTAAGTTGAGGACTGCCTGTATGCATATGCATATGCGTGTGTGTGTGTGTGTGTGTGTGTATGTATGTATATATGTATATATGTATATATATGTGTATGTGTATATGTATATGTATATGTATAATTTTAAAGTAAAGGTAAAGGTTCCCCTTATGTTCCACATATGTGCTAGTCATTCCTGACACCAGGGGGCGGTGCTCATTTCCGTTTCAAAGCTGAAGAGTTAATACTGTCTGAAGACTTCTCCATGGTCATGTGGCCAGCATGACTAAATGCCGAAGGCACATGAAATGCTCATTCACAGAAACTGATGGCAGTAAGAATAAACTGGAGGAACTGGAAAAAGAGCCACAATCAAGGCAACAGTCAGATTTTTTTTTAAATGAGTCTGAAGTAGAAATGTAAATTGAGAAAGCATCTTGAACTTGACCCTCTGCAGTTCTCTTGAAGAAAGAGGGAGGGAGGGAGGGAGGGAGGGAGGGAGGGAGGGAAGGAAGGAAGGAAGGAAGGAAGGAAGGAAGGAAGGAAGGAAGGAAGGAAGGAAGGAAGGAAGGGGGAGGTACGTTCAGACTTGCAAGGTTCTGTTAATCTAATCCTACAGTAAAAGTAGCATTCATAACTTTTATTTCCTAGTCTGGTCCACTTGAAGGACTGACAACTCTCCCACGTGGTTCAAAAGGTGAGGAAATCGTCTTCCATGTTTGATGCTTTTTAAGTCTTTTCTGGCCTAAACGAAGAGAGGAGAAAGTTATGTACCTTTTCCTGGCCAAACCTCCGGAGGAAGGTATAAGGCCAGTTATATTGTATTTGTCCAGACTGCACATCCTTCAGGACCAGCTGCTCAGGTAAAGAGACCATCAGGTAGTTCCCTTTCAATTGACATCTTGCAGAAGCCTCTGTTGGGAACACACTCACCGGGAACTCACAAACTGTTGGAAAAAATATCAGATGTATTATTTATTTATCTAAGAATCTTTCTTAATCCTTTACCTAATCCTTCAGTGGGGATTGCATTGGTATCATTAAGAACGTGGATGTCTACGGTTTTAAACTTTCTCATTCTGGGGTGACTATTTGGGTTTGACAACATGAACCAAATTTATTTATTTACTTTAAAAGACGGTTTATGTGTCATAACATTAGGCAGCTCACAGAATAACCTTAAAAGCTATTGGAAAATAAATAGGACATGCTTGAAGAACAAGGAAAGCCATCAGCTCCAGAGAGCAGGAAAGCCTAACTGATAAAAATACTGAAGACTGAGTTTTAAACTCCGAGTACAACTATGGACTCACTTTTAAAAGTAGAATTTGAGACATTATCTCTTGGAGATATTGTGGATGCTTACATATTATTTTGTTCCATAAGGATGGTTGCTGTTTGAGAAGGTTTGTCAACACTGACAGATGTAGACTAACAAAGCCGAGTGCTAGAATGTGTATCACAATGGTGAGCAACCTCTGCGTGGAGACGGGCTGCCCTTGGCATAGAGAGATTGCACTCCTGTTAACTTGGATGGGGCCAGGACAAAAACAATTTGGTTTAACTTAAAGTAAAATTAAAAACATGTTACATTAAATTAAACCTATAATCTGAGGGAAGCTTTAGATGAAAAACTGGGATCCATAAGCACAGCTTTTGGGCCCGACTAAGCTTCCATTACTCTAGAGCAGGGGTGTCAAACTCACGGCGTCATGGCGGTGTCACATGACATTTTAGGACATTTTCCCCCTTCGCTAAACTGGGTGTGGGTGTGGCTAGTGCATGACACATCAGGCCCACGGGCTGTGAGTTTGACTGCCCTGCTCTAGAACAACCCTGTCAGTTACAGCAAGTTGTTAAAACTTGGCTTTCTCCAGAATGTTTTTCTTTGGCCAGCCCAAACAAGTGTTAACCCTTTTAATGCCCTGGCTGGCCATAGCTCTTTCATCTCAACCCTTGGGTCAGTATACGTACTTTCCTTCCAGGATGAGTAGATGGAATTCTCCTCCATTAGGAGTTGAGGGCTTGAGGTGTTTCCAACTGGACTGGATTGGGAAGGTCTTTTCTGCAGGCACCAGAGCAAAAGTGAAAGAAATGACAGGGATTCTCAGATAAAAGCAAAGTTACAGCATTTGAACGGCCCTTCTTTATCACAACCTTACCACCACCTTTTATCGCCATGTACAGCAAAACTTGCTGCAACTTATGTTTTGAAATATTTACATCCCATCTTCCTCCAAAATTTCAAGATCCTGTCTATTGTTGTTTCCACTCACCAGTGAAATAAGTTGTCTGAGATCACTGAGTACTGATTTGAAACTCCACGGTCCTAATGCAACTCCCTGACTACTTCGCTACACCGGATCTCAAACCTTATCAGTCTGGTATTCAATTCAATTATGGCTTATAAAAGCTGTGGTGGCGCAGTGGTTAGTACTTGCAGGCAAATTCTGCTGACTGCTACTTCCTGCAGTTCGATTCTCACCGACTCAGGGTTGACTTAGCTTTCCATCCTTCCAAGGTCAGTAAAATGAGGACCCAGATTGTTGGGGGCAATACGCTGACTTACTTAGGGAGGGCTGTAAAGCACTGTGAAGCGATATATAAGTCTAAGTGCTATTGCAAGAAAAAAGTTAAGGAAACAATTGGTCCATTGCTGGGAGAAAGTGACAAGAAAGTGAAAAGCAACAGGGAGAAAGCAGAACTATTTAACTCATGTTTTGCATCTGTCTTTACACAAAGGGATAAAACAGTCCAACCTATCAAAAACACCACCACAAAAATCAGATTAGGAACACAAGTTGAAATAGGGAAGAAAATGGTAAGTGAGCACCTGTCTACCCTAGACGAGTTCAAATCACCAGGACCAGATTACAGATTACACCCCAGGGTTCTGAAGGAACTGGTAGACGAGATCTCAGAACCACTGAACTATATCTTTCGGAGATCCTGGAGTACCGGGGAACTACCAGAGGACTGGAAAAGAGCTGATGTGGT